CATACAGGGATACACTGTGAGCGTATGTCAGACTGGTACATACAGGGATACACTGAGTGTCAGACTGGTACATACAGGGATACACTGAGTGTCAGACTGGTACGTACAGGGATACACTATGTGTATGTCAGACTGCTACATACAGGGATACACTCAAACATATGTCAGAAGACTGGTACATACAGGGATACACATGAGCGTATGTCAGACTGGTACATACAGGTATATGTCAGACTGGTACATACAGGGATATGTCAGACTGGTACATACAGGGATACACGTGAGCATATGTCAGACTGGTACATACAGGGATATGTCAGATTGGTACATACAGGGATATGTCAGACTGGTACATACAGGGATATGTCAGAAGACTGGTACATACAGGGATATGTCATACAGGTACATACAGGGATACACGTGAGCGTATGTCAGACTGGTACATACGGATATACAAAGATACAGTATTAGCATATAAACGTAGAAATGTTTTCTATACATGTGCATGTCTGACCCTGTCCTTTGTTTGTGTCTATTTATAGAACTGCATGTGCATTGAGATGTGTATACAATGTAAGACGTGGTCGTGTAATCAAGGTAATAAATAGCACCAATACCAAAAATTCCTTCTTTTTTTCTGTTCTTTTTTTTGTAAAGAGTGTCAGAATGATTATTCAACAAAGCAACAATATAGGGGCTCATTTTAAGAAATTAAAATTTATTGCTTGAGTGAAGAGATACTTCCTGAAGACGATACACATTCAAAGGATGATGATCAGATAGAGGGGATACATTTTGGAGAGAATACATTGTACGCTTTAAAATCGACACAATTTAAAAGGAGCATGCTTTCGAGGAGATTGAGGATACACTTAGGAAAGAGTACACTATTAAATTGGATATGCTTTAAGAGAGTAAAATAATTATATGACTAGTACAGTAAGCATGAAGAAGGATAAAACTTGACTCTGGATAGGAATACACATGGGGAATGGGGAGAATTACTATCTTTACTGCCACAGTGCAGGCATTAATAGATAAATTGACAGCTCATTAACAAGATGTGACTTTGAATGAAAGAATCTTTTCCCACCACAATGATGTACACGGCCTCAGATATTTTATGTATTACATTAAATTACACCATTGAGGAACACATGGTATGATACTAATGTCAGACATCCTCCTTCAGTATCAGCTGATTCAGATCTTAAGTCTATGTCTTGTTAACTCATTCACCCCTGAAGACACATTTGAACTCTTCTAACAGAATGGTTGGAAAAGCTCATTATGAAATTTCAGAGGTGAATGAGTTAAAGCAATTTTGCTGAATATTGTATATCAAAAATCTGGATAAATGTAACTGTTGTCTTTGTCAATACTAACAATATCAAAAAGTCGAACACAAGGCTACAAAGCTAGTAATTCACTGTTAAAGGGACATTGAATATAGATGATAGCCATCCAACACCTACTATCGGCAGGGGTCATCCCAGCTTAGATTAATTCAATGAAAATAAACCCAATCTAATTTGAGTTTAAATTGAATCATCAGTGAGTAAAGGTCCAAATGTTAATTTCATTTGTAAATGCAGGAAATTTGATTTTAATTTAAATTGAATAGGCTTTGAGAAATTTCTTGTTAAAGGTCAAAATGTTATAAGATTAATCTTTATTGTGTCTGTTTAATTAAGATTTACTCTTTCACCGAACCGACAGATTGAAAGTGTTGATTGAGACAAACTTGGAATTATATATGCAACTGGCTAAACAGAAGTAACTAAATGGAGGCTATATGATGGCACTAATATACCATTCAGTAATATACAACAAAAGTAATTGTACTTTTCAGAAAAATATTTTCAGAATTTTTATACTGTTGCTGCTTTTTTAATTGTTTGATTTGTTGATAACATGTTAACAATAATCTTGTCCATTAATGGGGAATATTTGGAAAAAAATCCCAACAAACTTGTCCATTAGTGGGAAAGTGCAACAATATGGTTGTAAGCTCACCTGGCACGAAGTGCCAAGTGAGCTTATGCCGTGGCGCGGCGTCCGGCGTCCATCCGGCCGGCGTCAATATTTTACTTTAAACGACTGCTTCTTAATAACCGAAAGGCCTAGGGTGTCGATATTTGGCCAGAAGCAAACTGGGATGAAGGGCTACAAAGTTTGTTAAAATTAATGATCTTGACCCATTTTCAAGGTCACAGGGGTCAAATATGTTAAAAACTTTAAACATCTTCTTCTCGATAACCAAACTACCCAGGGAGATGATATTGGCAGTAGCATGCTTGGGTGAAGGGCTACAAATTTTGTTCAAATGCATGACCTTCACCCATATTCAAGGTCACAGGGGTCAAATATGTTAAAAACTTTAAACAACTTCTTCTCAATAACCAAAATGCCCAGGGTGATGATATTTGGCCAGTAGCATGCTGAGATGAAGGGCTACAAAGTTTGTTCAAATGAATGACCTTCACCCATATTCAAGGTCACAGGGGTCAAATATGTTAAAAACTTTAAACAACTTCTTCTGAATAACCAAAATGCCCAGGGTGATGATATTTGGCCAGTAGCATGCTGAGATGAAGGGCTACAAAGTTTGTTCAAATGAATGACCTTCACCCATATTCAAGGTCACAGGGGTCAAATATGTTAAAAACTTTAAACAACTTCTTCTGAATAACCAAAATGCCCAGGGTGATGATATTTGGCCAGTAGCATGCTGAGATGAAGGGCTACAAAGTTTGTTCAAATGAATGACCTTCACCCATATTCAAGGTCACAGGGGTCAAATATGTTAAAAACTTTAAACAACTTCTTCTGAATAACCAAAATGCCCAGGGTGATGATATTTGGTCAGTAGCATACTAGGATCAAGGGCTACCAAGTTTGTTTAAATGTATGACCTTGAATCATATTCAAGGTCACAAGGAGCAAATATGTTCAAAATATTTAAACAACTTGTTCTGAATAACCAAAAGGCTCAGGATGTTGATATTTATTCAGTAACATGCTGGCATCAAGGACTACTATGTTTGTTAAATTGAAATACTTTGACTTATATTCAAGGTCACAGGGGTCAAATTTGTAAAAAATGTAAACGACCTCTTCTGAATAACCATGGGTCCCAGGATGTTGATACTTTGCAAGTTGCATCCTGAGATGAAAGGCTATAAAATTTGTTCAACATGATGACTTTGTTCGACTTTCAATCACAGGGGTGAAATGTTTAAAAAAACAAAAATGGGTCTTTTGAATGAATTTTAATCATAAATTCTGATATTTTGCCTGTAGCTTTATTTTAGATCACTTTTAAGGTTACAAGTGTGAGATTTATACCAGGTGAACGATACAGGCCCATTGGGCCTCTTGTTTATATTTGTCAGAAATCTTCTTCTTCAAAACTGTGATGATCAGATGATTGACCTGGAGATTTTGACAAATGATGAGTTAGTAAATGTTTGTGGAAGTTTACTCAAATTGATAAAATTAGTGAAGAATAAAAACAAATTTGAAATTCTTATTAACTTTTTTTTTTTTTTTTTTTTTGAGAAACTACTGGTAAGTAAAAATATTCAATGCTTCCTGTTTTGTTTTTCATGAATCATTACAATTTTCATTGCATTGTTCCATATACATGTATATATGTCATGTCACAAATTTCTATGGCACATGATACTTATCAAAAGTTTATTTGGTAGTGTTATTATATGGGTAATAGCCAGAGCGAATTAAAATAATTTATTTGCATTCACTTTACAGTTGCTGACCTTAAAAACATCATTCAACATAGATTTATAATCTTTACGAAAGTCAAATATGTGAGTGACACAGGTGCTGTGGGCCTCTTTTTTAAAAACTGTTTATTAGTGATGATTGAATTGACTTGATTTTGAATACTAAAAGATTCATTGATTCATTTCGCACAAACAATTTATGAAGCTTACATCATCATAGATTTATTCTCAGTTTAAATTCACTGCAAGCAAACATTTCTCTGACAGCCTTAATAAACTTCTACTATAATTTGATATCCCTGTGTACTTAATTGGAATTTGCCATGTCAAATTTCCATATTTTATAAGTGTAACAGTTGCCATCAAGTTTGCCTTACAAAACTACAGATATCTATACCTTTATTTCAAAGACGGACAAAATTTCTAATTCATTGAAGCGCTGGCCAAACATTGGTTATGATTTTGTGAAACACAGTAAGAGAAAACACAGATATATTGTTTGTATAAAACTTGATAATATGTTATCCCATGCAGTGTTCATGGTCTAAATTCTTTATCACATTGCTGAATGATTTGGTTTAGAAGAAGAAGGGTTTATTGAACATGATATTGTGAAAAATCTCTACCATGTTATCTGTGACAAACTAAATTATATTGCTATGATTTCAACCGTTTATACATAAAATGTTATCAAATGTGTATTGAAGTACAGTGTAGCCTACATTTACTGGCACAGTTTTGGTTGTCAAAAATCGACCATTCACTGGATCTGAGTCAGATGGGAAGTTTAGAAGGTTGGCTAGAAATGGGTCACTTATGGTAGGCTGTGGTTGCTGCGGGATCTCTTCTTCACAGATACTGTGAACATACAGTATGGGAGGACAATGTGAGGACTTACATTGGTTTACCAGACAAATTTATTTGGTGTTGATACGTCTAGACGACAGCATTACATATCTCAGATTATTCAATTAAGGAGACAGACACTCTGTCCAGATATTTATCAGGTAATATGACACTATTTCCAGACATTCATTAGGTGATATAGAATATAAAATCACTCAAAAAACATTCATTGCTATTTTTAAAAATATATTTACTTATGACTATTGACCTGTTCACGTCTAGACTTCAATTATCTTGAGTTACCTCAAAGTTTTTCTTGACAAAGATCCTCTAGTTTTAGATTTAGATGCTTGCTTTTATGTTAAAATTGAAATTTTTGTCACATATTTTTTTCTTCCCTTCTTTCAGCATACTGATCAGAAATATTCAGAAAGTGGAAAAGACAAGAAAGAGTACATGATACTTGTGGCTCAAATCTGGCCTTTACAAGTATAGTTTCCTATTGAGAACTGGAAGGATCAAGTTACAGCCCCTCCAAATCCACACAAACACCTTGGAACCTCCAACTCAATTGTACGAACCACACCCATAACCAAATATATGAATGGGGAATTTTTGAGTGTCAAGTCAGCTTGAAAATGTCAGGGCGTCATGTGGAGAACATCACACAAAGTATAGAACATATTGAGTATATTTAGAGATGGGTGTGTTTCCTGACCAACAAAGGAAATTTGATCCAGTAAACCCACCTACTAATGTGGAGTAAGTACTTCTGATCTTGACTCTTTTGTATGAACAAGGTCAGCAAAAGTACTAGCGAGATTTAGTCTTCAGAGTTTTGTTTTGTTTATATAGATATATAAAATCACCTGAAGAGCCCCAAGATGGGCGAAAGCGCTAGCCGATCATATTAGTCTTCATGTTTTGTTTTATTTATAAATATATATATATATATGTTTTCTTTTGATGCATCGTCAATGCGTTATTGCCTTGTCAGTGTTTTTCTTTTCATTTTTCTGTAAAAAAAAATATATAAAAAGGAAGGTGAATATGAGATTCTTAAAGTGGGATAAAATCACATGTTAATCACACTTACAAAGGGATTGTGTAGTGTACTTGTAACTGGGCTGGGTTAGTTCTTAGTGAATGTTTGAAGAACTCAAAAACACTGTATAATCAGTTCATGGATATTTGTGCACTTCCAAATAAGATGATCAAATTCCATGAATCAATATCTGTCTGTTTCATCTTCTACATTTTCAGATATCCTTATACATAGATATGTGTATCCTGAATTCTGGCTGTGGGCCGAATTCCTAGACTCTTCCATAATGTATGAATATGTCAGTTGACCCAGGGTCAGGAGTATGATGCCATGTCCAAGTCCAGCAGAAATATAGAAAACATTTTGTATAATTAAAAGGCTTACATGAGTAAACTACTTAGGTGTTTTTTTTCTTCTTGATAAATTTGAAAATAAATAATATTCATTACTCAGCACAACCAATCACAAGACACAACACTGTAGGTATTGTCACTTACAAATATTTACTTCTGACAACGAGTCAATATTCAGTTTGTGCATCTGAATCCCATTTTGATGCACAGAACTTACCGTATAACTCAGCGACACTTGGAGAGAGGTCTGTTCAAGTTAACAAATCAATGGCCATGCAGCACGCAACTGCCACCACTTAAATGGGGGAAATAGAGGGCTTTTCGGACAGAAAACGACGTCTATCAGTTAAAATGTGACTGATGGTCTTCTCGTCTCGACCAGCTAATGGAGGGAGTATTAGGGACGTGTTGTATCGCAGGGCTGCTGATGATGGGCCAAATTGTAGCTTAGAGGTCTTGATTAGTGTATCAATAAGTTGATGGGGAAAATATGGTGCCATTGTAGCAATGCACTGGCCAAAATATTGTATCCACAGACCATTTGCTTTTAAAGACACAATTCCAAGTCCATCAGCCCTTTGCTACAGTGTACAAATATCCAAAAACTTATGAATGTGATTAGTTTTGATTACCAAATCTTTGTATCAGGGCTGTTGGACCTGGTACTGTGTCTTTTCTTTATGAAAGGGTTGATGGAAAATGTAAAAGAGATTTAGGTTTTGGTTTGGTTTTACAGGGTTTTGCTTCTTATTAAAAGTAAAGGTCATTTAAGGACGTAGAAGATTTAGGTTTGGTTTGGTTTTACATCCTATGAACAGCTAAGGTCATTTAAGGATTAAAAGCTCTAGGTTTGATCTAGTTTTACTTGGTTTTATGTCCTTATTAACAGCTAAGGTCATCTGAGGACAAGAAGCTTTAGGAGTTTAGATTTGTAGTATCAAATTGCTGGTGTAAAATATTAATGATATCAGGTTTTAGATGTTTATGTTAACTGAAGAAGTTGGTATTATGTCTACATGTCAAATAAGGGAGCTGAAAGTGAACTCTCAAGGAAATGGCTGAGTGTGTAATTCCGAAGTTTACCATGAATTACTATAGCCAAATACAATACAGGGAGAATGCTGACAATTAATTGCCATTTCACATTAAATCAAATGGTTGAACTATTTACCACAAATTAATATATAGACCCTTTGATACTAACAGTTGGAAGGATAACACACATTTCATTGATTTGGCCTTAGTTTGCGGGTTCCACTAACTGACAACAAACATGTAGTTGGGTTGGCCTGATAATAGAGATGGATGGCCCAGACTTACCATCTGTTTTGTAGGAGACTATAGGACCATAATTGGCTGCCACAGCTCATTTGTCAAGCCCTATAGGACCTGTTAACTCCGACACCCAGTAAGGCATTGATCTGTACTTCCTTGGGGTGTGTGGTATATGTCCAATGAGAAAGCAGTAATCTTACACACAATGCACTCTAATACGGTAAATATTCCTAAATATTTTCTCTTTTTTTTTCTTTTTTTCTTGTCTTCACTTGAAACAATTTCAGTTATTTTTTTCTACATCTGAAACATTTCTGATCATTTCTTTGTTAGATCTACCAAAAAAGAAAAGTGATATCTTAATCATGATGGTTTCCTTTTGCTTTGAAGGGCTTTGCACTGTGTTTTAATACGCGTTCATGGATTCTTATTACTACTTCAGATCTATAAGGCCTTGAGTTTAGGTATATTGACTGAAGCTTGATCAGAGGAAGTTAATTCTAATAAATGACACTGACCCACTTACAAGGACAGAGGTCAAATGATGTATTGAGATTCATGTAGTACAACCAGTGTGTTTGTGTGATGTTTTGATCAAAAGTATGATATTTATACTAAGGTTTTAAAATGCTGCAGATGACAATGAAATCCACAAAATAATGACTTTGCTTAAAGCATATGTACACTAAGGTGTTACAATGTATGAAATGGCAATTGAATCAATTAATCAATTTTTGCTATGCTTTGTTTAGTACCTGGTTATACACATTCGAGAGTGTATACCCCCCTCATCTCGATTCATCTGGTATATCAATTAAGATAGCTTCTTTCAACTGCCTCCTTAGCAAGTTGCTCTTTCTATCCACCACTGTCTTCTTGAACCTACACTAAGGGTAGCCAAATTTACATTGTACATATCATTTAGATTGCATCTTGTAAACTTTTAACAAATAAGTGTACATAAGCTTTACTGGACATTTGTCTGATGAATGTGACAGTTTATTTCATTGAAACCTCACACATAAATATTTATCAGGTCCAACAAACGTATGTTTAATGTTGCCTGGTGACCACACTCTAAATTCTGCAATTATATTTGGGTAAGTGTAGTTAGGTGTCAAATGAAAATGTGAAATATTGATATATTGTGTGGTTAACTTAAACAGTGTTTGAAAATTTAATAAGATAAGAAATATTGTTCAGAAATGTTAAAATTTAATTAATATTGTTCAGGTTAAGAAAGGCCATCTTGATCACTATCTGTCATCAGATAGTTTTATTTTAAAATTTGCCTTGATTTTTAATGTCTTTCATAAGACACATAAACATTTTTTTTTCCATTTGGAGTAAATTTTGATCAATAAATTTTGAAGATGAAGGGGAGGAGAGAATGTTGTTTGCTAAAATGTAACAAAGAAATAAGTTTGTAAAACAAGAGCAATATCAAAAAAGATCATTAAAAAAAAATGAATTACTGTTTTCAGCAGATAATACTGTATAACAAACAGCCAATTTTACTGGTTAACCAAGCATACTCTCTAAACAAATTGCTTTATGACTATACCCTCAAAACTAATTGAATTGCAGCAGTGTACTCTCTAAACAAGATTACTTTAAAAGATTTCCATGTAGTCTTGTACAGAATTATATTTGTCTTCTGTCTGTACTAAATTATACATTAGTGAATATGTTTGTTTCCATAAAGTATGTAAGACATAAATGAAAAGCTATGTTAGCTTTAAAACAATATTTTTTATCTTTATTCAAATCATTGCAAAAAAAGGAAATCATGGCTTAAAAAAAACCTTTGCAAGATTCAAGCAAAATTTGAGAATCTAAACACAATGCAAATTATGTATTATTTGATTTTATATTTCTACCAACTTAAACTTGATTGAAAATGAACTTCATTTTTCAATGTAAACCTGACAAATATAACAACAAATCTATCTACCAGTCATGGTGATATAGCATCTCTTTGTTAAATGTAGTTACATAAGAAAAATACATTCAAGGATAAAATTTTACATGTGAAATGATAAGAGACTGCTGTTTTACTGTTCTTAAAAGTGTAGTTATTTGATATTGAAAACAGAAAATGTGAATTTGTTTTGTTGCAAATATTGTATAGCTTAATTTTTGGGGATACTTACTTCATGGCTGTTTAAAGTCTTGCATATTCATCTAACAAATGAAAAGCAGAAGCATTTATTTTGTATAAATGAAAATGAATAAATATTTGTGAGTTATCTGAAGTCCTGACTGCATCTTCTTACAAAAACATGTTCATTATGAAGTGAAGTATAGCTTCAGCACATGGTGTCTGGAAAGGTTTATGCACTACAAAATGATTGTCATTAGGATAAAAGTCAAGGTCATAGTGACTCAACTTTTTACTGTAAAAAAAGTGTCCAAAGTATTATCAGTTCTAAAAACACATCAACAAATTAACACACTGGTACATTAATCAGACTGATTGCTTCATGTGTCCTTGACAGACTACCTCACACATTCACATATCATGGCTATTTGCTTCACATGTTCACATTTAGTATGTACGAATAGGGTTTGAGATGCCTGCTATATGCAGGAGAGGGCAGTCTTTTTAAGTCTGGTATATACTGAGGAGAACTAGAGGGGACATTTCTTGTAAGGTTTAGTATGAACATATATAGGACCTGGAGAGGGCAGTCCTTGTAAGGTCTGGTTTGTACAGAGGAGGGCTGGAGAGGACAGTTCTTGTAAAGTCTGGTATGTACAGAGAAGTGATGGAGAGGACAGTTCTTGTAAAGTCTGGTATGTACAGAGGAGGGCTGGAGAGGGCAGTTCTTGTAAGGTCTGGTATGTTCATAGGAGGGCTAGAGAGGGCAGTTCTTGTAAAGTCTGGTATGTTCAGTGGAGGGCTGGAGAGGACAGTTCTTTTAAGGTCTGGTATGTACAGAGGAGGGCTGGAGAGGGCTGCTCTTGTAAAGTCTGGTATGTTCAGAGGAGGGCTGGAGAGGACAGTTCTTGTAAAGTCTGGTATGTTCAGAGGACGGCTGGAGCGGGCAGTTCATGTAAAGTCTGGTATGTTCAGAGGAGGGCTGGAGATGGCAGTTCTTGTAAGGTCTGGTATGTTCAGAGGAGGGCTGGAGAGGGCAGTTCATGTAAAGTCTGGTATGTTCAGAGGAGGGCTGGAGATGGCAGTTCTTGTAAAGTCTGGTATGTTCAGAGGAGGGCTGGAGAGGGCAGTTCATGTAAAGTCTGGTATGTTCAGAGGAGGGCTGGAGATGGCAGTTCTTGTAAAGTCTGGTATGTTCAGAGGAGGGCTGGAGAGGACAGTTCTTGTAAAGACTGGTATGTACAGAGGAGGGCTGGAGAGGGCAGCTCTTGTAAAGTCTGGTATGTTCAGAGGAGGGCTGGAGAGGACAGTTCTTGTGTAGTCTGGTATGTACAGAGGAGGGCTGTAGAGGGCAGTTCTTGTAAGGTCTGGTTTGTACAGAGGAGGGCTGGAGAGGGCAGTTCTTGTAAAGTCTTGTATGTTCATAGGAGGGCTGGAGAGGGCAGTTATTGTAAGGTCTGGTATGTTCAGAGGAGGGCTGGAGATGGCAGTTATTGTAAGGTCTGGCATGTACAGAGGAGGGCTAAATAGGGTAGTCTGTTAGGCCTGGTATGTACTGATGAGGGCTTGGAAAGGCAACTTACCAAGGTAATAAGTCTTGAAAGGTTTAGATAACATTCCAAAATTACATTGACTTAGGGAAGCAACTCCAATA